CCCATCACAATCCCTCTCTTCAATAGTTCCTCCCTTCATCAATCCCCCCTTCAATAACCCCTTCCTTTAACAACCCCTCCCCAGCCCCTCAACAAGCCCTCCTCAACTCAAGCCCTCAACAAGTCTAGCCCCTCAAATCCCAACCCCTCAGCACGCCAAAACCATCCACCCCCCACACAAAAAACAAAACCCCCCAAAACCCCAGCCTTTCAGCCCCAACCCCTCAACCACAACCCCTCAGGCCCAGCCCCTCAACACCCCAAAATCATCCATCCCCCCCCACGTCCGACAAAACCCAAACCATTACAACAAAAAACAAAACCCCCCAAAACCCCAACCTTTCAGCCCTTCCACCCCCCGCCATTACAACAAACCCCCCAAAACCCCAACCTTTCAACCCCAACCCCTCAACCGCAGCCCCTCAAACCCAAACCCCTCAGCCCCCCAAAACCACCCACCCCCGCCGCACCCGACAAAACCATCCCCCACCACGACCGACAAAACCCAAACCATTACAACAACAAACAAAACCCCCCAAAATCCCAACCTTTCAGCCCCAGCCCCTCAACCGCAGCCCCTCAACCCCAACCCCTCAACACCCCAAAACCATCCACCCCCCACCACGCCCGACAAAATCCAAACCATTACAACAAACCCCCCAAAACCCCAGCCTTTCAAGCCCCTCAACCGCAGACCCTCAAACCCAGCCCCTCAGCCCCCCAAAGCCACCCACCCCCCACCACACCCCACAAAACCCAAACCATTACAACAAAAAACAAAACCCCCCAAAACCCCAGCCTTTCAGCCCCAACCCCTCAACCGCAACCCCTCAGCCCCAGCCCCTCAGCACCCCCAAAACCATCCATCCCTCACCACGCCCGACAAAACCCAAACCATTACAACAAAAAACAAAAACCCCCACAACTCGATAAAACGCCGGACACAAACCCTATACCATTTCTATTAAACCCCAAAACCTTAACCGAAAAATCCCCGGGTCCCGAAAATTCCCGGAATTTTCAAAGGGCACCCATGTCATCATTGTTGCGCTGGAACCTTAAAATCCAACCCGGCAAGCCCAAACCTCAATCCGGACAATTCCTAAAATTCCGGGAATTTTCAGCTCCGGGTGATTCCCAAAATTCCCAGGATTTTTAGACAAAAAGTGTTAAAATTCCCGGAATTTTCAGGATCCCCCTGCAAGGCCCTCACAAGCAGCCAAATGGACCGGAAGAGGAGGCGGGGCATCCGACGGGGCGGCCGCAGAGCGAAAATAGGGGTCGAGCCCGTATATTTGATGCTGATGAGGAATGTCGAATGTGTCCCCAAAGTAGTGATGCCTTCGGTCATCATTGCTTGAGTTGTAATATGATAGGAAAAACCACTCTTCATAATCTCATCCGGGATGAAGTCTTTCGAGCCTTATGGGGTGGAGGATTGGGAGTCCGAAGAGAGCCAACTCACTTGTTACCGGAGGATCCTGCACGTAGACCTGCGGACATTCTGACGGTACCAACTCCATTATGCAGACAATCTGCTTGGAAGCATTTCGGTCGAATCGCCATGGATTTTGCAGTGGTATCACCTTTCCGGCAAAGGGTCGACTTGCAGAAGGCAACAGAACAACATGCCCAACACAAGCGCCAGGATCGAGCCACTTTGAGCCGATGTAACGAACAGGGAATCGGTTTTGAACCAATTGTCTTCGATTATGCGGGAGGTCTGAATGTCGAAGGGACTCAACTTATGGATTCTCTCTGCCGTGCCGTAGATGGACCATTAGAACGGCCTCTTGGGACCACAAAACTTCGGCTACGCGAACGTATTTCGTTTGCACTGCAACGGCATTTGCATAGATGTATCCAACGTCGCCGCGAAGGCGAGCCAAAACTACCCCTCGGGGGCGAACATTTCATTCCTGATATCCACTTTTGATTGATGATTGATCTTTGCACAGGAGTCCCTTCAAAATAGGACGCCATTGACGTCATGTTGATGTTCTGCAGGAGACTCCTTAGCGCAGGCTGGCTTGCTTACACGAATTGAACTTCTGAGCTGCTTGAGAGCAACCTTCCTATGAGAATTTATGGAGGCGTGATTTCTCAACAATTCTCTTGCCTTGTTTACAATTGGGTTTCACCTTTGAGACGTCTCACCTGGTGGAACTTTCGTTGTTTTCTTCTGCTTTTCGTCTTTCTGGGACGCCTCTCTAATTGGGGGTGGCGGCGGGTTTTTGTGCACGACGAGGTGTCTTGGAGAGCACGAATCTTTTGGTTGGTCTCGTTTCTTGTTCGGGGTGGTGGTGGATTTGCCTTTTCTGAGAGCATAAGCCTCTATGCGTCTATACGCATTTCTGGTTCTTAATTGGTGCTTTTGGGAGCAGAAGCCTCTTGCACCGGAATGAGAGCATCCCGATTTAAGATTTATGTCCTATGATTTGCCATCATAATTCGAATTATCATTATATAAATTTGAATATATAAATAACCTCCCAAGATAATATCCTCAATGAGCCTTAAAACTTACACTCGTCACCCACCCCTAAACTTGAAGGGAATTGCCTTATCACGACCCCTCCTTTCAAGCTAATCCATGAAGGGCGCAAGAGGCCTTTGCTCCCCAAAGCGCCTATTAAGAAAGGTGACATAATGATAGGAGAATACGACGATTTCTGTATCCAAATACCCGGAACCGGAAATGAGACCAACCTACCAACCAAAAGTTTCGTACTCTCCAGGATACCTCTTTTTTTTAAAGTCCATCTCCATCCCCCAATTAGAGAAATGTCCCAGAAAGACGAAAAATAAAAGAAGGTAACGAAGATTCTACAAAACTCCTCGATCCCAGATCCGAAATCCTTAACCCCAAATGCCTCGATATCTCATATAATATCATTAAAACCATAATTTCTCAAAATATTAGGAATTCGTCCTTTCATTTAGATAATATTCTAAATTCTTGTGCCAAATTAAAGCCCTAAGTTCATAGGATTCCCAATGGCTCGCCCTTGCGCCACCTTATGCCATACTAACGAATAAACATAATAGAACATAATATCGATAAAATTCTCTAATAGATACATTTACAATAGACTA